TTTTTTTTCTTTTTTTTTGTACTCTTTGTTGTCATATTCTTTTTTCAACCTTTTCTTTTTAACTGAGTCCAATAAACAGCCTCCTTAAAGATCATTATTTATTTTGTTTAAAGAGAGTCTTTCAAATAAGATCAGGGTATTATTTATGGTGTTCAGTGATAATGAACTGCTGTACTTACAAGATATAAGAAATGACTCCTATGGACCAGACATCCACTTCTTTACCATACGGTGCCTGTGCTAAAACTTCTGGGGCTGCAGAGATAATACAGACCAACTATTAAGATGTTATGTAAGGCAAACACATCAACAATTTTATTACACTTTTGTAATTAATTAATTAATTAAGTAATTAATCAATTAAAGGAGAAGTTGGAGAAATACAGAATTATGACCAATTTTTTATGAAGAAAAACATTTTCTCTCCAGATCAACATCAATTTCAGCCCTAATAATGTCAATGTGAACATATCACTTAACAATACAGGTTTCAATTTGACATTTACGTAAGACAAAACAGCTCAAGTTTGTTGAAAAAAAAAAGGAAAAACAACTGTCATCAGGAAGAGAGAGAACTCTTATGTCAGGATGCACTGAATAAGACCTCTTAGTCTTCAGAGAAAACCTACTACAACTTATGATAGGACCAGAAAAAAAAATTACCATGAAATTATTCCGAGATCAATCTGAAGACCTCCCCTGCTCACTGAATGCAGAAAACTTAGGCTGTGTTTTGAATATGTCTATCTTAAAGAACGGAAATTGGCCCAAAGCTCACAATCAGATTCCAAGATTAGAAAGGAGAGAAGAGGTCTTCTCCTGTCATTTCATGATGCCATTCACACCTAACTCCATCTCTCTTTACATCCAAAAGAGCGACGAAAACAAAAAACAAGACTTACTATTCCCAGGAAAATACCAAGTCCCTTATTACCAACTAACAGTTAATAGCTTATTGTTATAAGGACTAACACTGAACAAGGGAGTAATCTCCAAGTCGTGTGACACATACGTCATGAGAGAGATCTTATCGAAGACTGCCATGGTATGATCAGCGACTCTTAAGAGGAGTAGGGCGGGAGAGGGGAGGAGTTATAGACCCTATTCCCATAGATTTTAGATCGATCTATCCCTGTGGAGAGTCTCGCTAGATTACTGTCAGCTTAGCCGGCTTAAGCGTCTGTCCCGCCTACTAAAAGCTGTAAGAGGGTAATTAACTATGGTGCACACTCGTCTGACTGCAATTTAACGTGAACCCCCAGGGAGTTAGGTCGATCTAAATCTAAATCTCTGGATCGATCTAAATCGCTGGAAATGCACCAATAGATACACTAAGTAAAGCACCAGTCAATGTCATATTCTGAAGAGTGGCTAAGAGTAGCACATCTGTCTTATATCATGGCTCAGTTACATGCGTTTACGTGCATCTGCACGTGTATGCAGGAGTGTCAGATACGCCACATCTCGTAACTTTCTTGTATTCTTGACATCCCCCATGGCAAAATTATTATTTAACTTGAAAATTATTACAAAAGTGTACCGTTTATAATTATCATTCATGGGCATATTCATTCTTGCCTTCATTTCAGCTTCGGACAATTCACTGAAAGTCTTCAGCCGTGAAATCTTTTCCCTAAATCAATGACAAGACTATGACAGGGAAATTGAAAGTCTTTCATTTCTATCATCCAGTGCAAAGCTAACGTGAATGATATACTAACTGAAAATGGCCTCCCCTGGGGTACTTATCATGGAAAATGTGATAATTAGACTCCGTGTCTGGGACCTTTGGGTTGCCAGATTGACACCAGTTATGAATTATGATATAATAAAACTTTGCATGGATCAATATGTGTTGTACTTTATGCTGAGTTATTTGGCAGCATGCATTTCACAAGAGCTTCTAGCAACACATCAATTGTACAAAGATTTCTGGACAAGTCATCAGATGGAAATATATACACAATATGGTGTCTATGGAGTAAAAGTTGATAGATAATACAGAACGGTGGGGACATTTTATCCACACAAAGCAATATCTGCTGATGCTGTAGGTAAAACAAGCCAGTAATTATTTGAAGAATCTAGTTCATGCCTGCTTTACAATGACAGTGAAGACAACTCAGACATCATCTACAGTATCAGCACACAGCTTTATAATTAGATCATTAATTACTAAAAGTTGCTTGACTCAGGGACATGATGTATAATATCACAAGTCAAGCAAGCCCAAGGCTCAACATTTGTACTTTATCTCATCTGCGAAATATAGTCCAAAATGCTTTCAACCACGCATCATTTGAACTTATGGTTACAACAAGTGCAGAACGAAAGTAGATGCTTTAAATGAGTGAATATTTCTGGAGTTACTCATGCAATGCAAAGATTCAACAATATTTACTTTACAAAACATCCCTGACAGCAAAATAGTCTCTCAAATACCAGTGATGACATCATTTGTTTCAACAAAATGAGTAATATGTTAGAATTGTTGAGTCAAGCAGTGTACTTTTTCCAGTCACAAAAAATCTTTACCATCCACTGGTGTCAATAAGTAAGACTCACGTCTGATGATTTTGTACAGAGATTTAAGACATACTGCACAACTGAAAGTGTCTTGCTGTCTTGTTCCAATATTCAAATATCCTGTAAAGCTACTTAATATCTTTCCCAATTCAGACCTTTAAAATGACAAAACCCTCTCAAGTAAAAGTGCCTGATATCGATATTTGTTTCTAAAATGTCACAAAAAACATGGCAGTGTAAGTGGCTCAGAGTCATTTAGAAGTAAATAATTTAATCGTGATACAAACCATTTGTTCCCAGTGAATGGATGTGNACATCATCCTGCGGAGCCGCAGGAGCCGCAGGAGCCGGCGGAGCTGTACGAGACGGGTCGGGACTAAAACCATGAGTACCGCCAGCGTACACGCTGGTGGTACTAATTAATAGCTTATTGTTATAAGGACTAACACTGAACAAGGGAGTAATCTCCAAGTCGTGTGACACATACGTCATGAGAGAGATCTTATCGAAGACTGCCATGGTATGATCAGCGACTCTTAAGAGGAGTAGGGCGGGAGAGGGGAGGAGTTATAGACCCTATTCCCATAGATTTTAGATCGATCTATCCCTGTGGAGAGTCTCGCTAGATTACTGTCAGCTTAGCCGGTTTAAGCGTCTGTCCCGCCTACTAAAAGCTGTAAGGGGGTAATTAACTATGGTGCGCACTCGTCTGACTGCAATTTAACGTGAACCCCCAGGGAGTTAGGTCGATCTAAATCTAAATCTCTGGATCGATCTAAATCTCTGGGAATGCACCAATAGATACATTAAGTAAAGCACCAGTCAATGTCAAATTCTGAAGAGTGGCTAAGAGTAGTACATCTGTCTTATATCATGGCTCAGTTACATGCGTTTACGTGCATGTGCACGTGTATGCAGGAGTGTCAGATACACCACATCACGTAATGTTCTTGTATTCTCGACATCTACCATGGCAAAATTATTATCAAACTTGATAATTATTACGAAAGTGTACTGTTTATAATTATCATTCATGGGCATATTCATTCTTGCCTTCATTTCAGCTTCGGACAATTCAATTTAAGGTTTCAGCTATGAAATCTTTTCCCTAAATCAATGACAAGACTATGACAGGGAAATTGAAAGTCTTTCATTTCTATCATCCAGTGCAAGGCTAACGTGAATGATATACTAACTGAAAATGGCCTCCCCTGGGGTACTTATCATGGAAAATGTGATAATTAGACTCCGTGTCTGGGACCTTTGGGTTGCCAGATTGACACCAGTTATGAATTATGATATAATAAAACTTTGCACGGATCAATACGTGTTGTATTTTATGCTGAGTTATTTGGCAGGCTGCATTTCACAAGAGCTTCTAACAACACATCAACTGTACAAAGATTTCTGGACAAGTCATCAGATGGAAATATATACACAATGTGCATATGGTGTCTATTGAGAAAAGTTGGTAGATAATACAGAACGGTGGGGACATTTTATCCACACAAAGCAATATCTGCTGATGCTGTAGGTAAAACAAACCAGTAATTATTTGAAAAATCTAGTTCATGCCTGCTTTACAATGACAGTGAAGACAACTCAGACATCATCTACAATATCAGCACACAGCTTTATAATTAGATCATTAATTACTAAAAGTTGCTTGACTCAGGGACATGATGTATAATATCACAAGTCAAGCAAGCCCAAGGCTCCACATTTGTACTTTATCTCATCTGCAAAATATAGTCCAAAATGCTTTCAACCACGCATCATTTGAACTTATGGTTACAACAAGTGCAGAACGAAAGTAGATGTTTTAAATGAGTGAATATTTCTGGAGTTACTCATGCAATGCAAAGATTCAACAATATTTACTTTACAAAACATCCCTGACAGCAAAATAGTCTCTCAAATACCAGTGATGACATCATTTGTTTCAACAAAATGAGTAATATGTTAGAATTGTTGAGTCAAGCAGTGTACTTTTTCCAGTCACGAAAAATCTTTACCATCCACTGGTGTCAATAAGTAAGACTCACGTCTGATGATTTTGTACAGAGATTTAAGACATACTGCACAACTGAAAATGTCTTGCTGTCTTGTTCCAATATTCAAATATCCTGTAAAGCTACTTAATATCTTTCCCAATTCAGACCTTTAAAATGACAAAACCCTCTCAAGTAAAAGTGCCTGATATCGATATTTGTTTCTAAAATGTCACGAAAAACATGGCAGTGTAAGTGGCTCAGAGTCATTTAGAAGTAAATAATTTAATCGTGATACAAACCATTTGTTCCCAGTGAATGGATGGGTCATGTAATGACTTGTGAGTAGGAAAACATCGCGTTTTTACTTGAGGAAAATTACATTCCACACAAAAGTCTAGAACAGGATACCTTTAACTGACATCTTTAGCAATAATCATTTCAGATGATTTTTTTTTCAGTAGTAATGCTTTTAGCCAGGGCTGTAATAATTCCAAGAAGTAGATGTTACATTTTGGTCAGGACTGAAAGAAGTCCAGAAGTAGTGAATTGCGGCAACTTGTCCCAAAAGACGCTGATGTCATGAATGGAAGAATATATGTTCATTTAAACACTCCAGTGACATACAATGATAGGACATTACTGGTAAATTTAGATCTCCCACTGACACACATTTCATCCATTCAATGAAATTCTGATGTTGGCAAATAACATAACTAACTAAACAACCCCGTCTTGAGAAAGGTTTGGCAGGCAACTTGTAAATTAGCTTTTTTTCTGCTAATATGTGTAGATTCTTGATGTGTAAGAAAGAGGCATAAAGAGATGGTAGAGAGAGTGCGAGTGGGGGGGGGGGGGGCAAGCGAAACAGAGTCAGAGAACGCCCATTTATTTTTTCAGCAAAATCAATATCATAAAAACACTTGAAGTATTAATATACTAATCGTAACACCGACTACATTAGCCTCAAAAACTCTTTCCTATGGGGCAGTCCCATCTTGCTGCATTTCAAATTAATCCTAAATACTCTGATTTGGGGCCATATACAATATGTAGGGCCACTGGACATGTATTCTGGTTGAGACTGTCTGAAGCCTTACCAATTTTATCAAACTACATACCACTATTAGTATACTGATGAAGGGCCTCAGGCACAGCTCAAAGGGCCACTGAATGAGGATGATAAATGTCCAAGCCTTACTCATCAATAACCAAGACACCTTTGAGAACACAGAGCCTCTCTTGAAAACCATAATCATTATCTAAACAGAAATAACTTTTTTTTTTCAGATCTGGTTTTTTGTAGCTCCTGAAGTTAGGAAATTAATGGGGATCTTTAATGCAGGTTTATTGATTTATGGCTTTATCTCCTTTGGAATTCAGGTTTTGAATAAATGTTATGTGTACAATTAAAAATCTTCTCGTACACATTTACCTCTGTGTGTGTGTGTGTGTGTGTGTGTGCGTGAAAGAAACAGAGATTTCAACCACTGTGCTTGAACTAGAAGCATCAAAACTTAATCACAAGCTGATGCCAATGTCCCAGCAATACATATCATGCTAATATGCATACTTCTAACAACATCACAAATGACGAAGTCATTTTACTACAGCATGAATATAGACCTTGTTTAAACAACAGGACAAGCTTGACTGGTATACTGAACATGAAGTCAGCTGCTTACATGTGACTAAATTGTTGTTGTTTTTCACCTCATTTATCTACTTAATTTACACTGGGAGTTGCCCTGAAGCCTAAATGTAGTGAAAAGATAAAAACCAACATGGAATGCAATCTGAACAGTGTTTGCTGAGACAGGCTTTTAGGCCACTCATAACAGTGAGCCAACAAGTTCAAGAAATCTAAGTGGGAGAAAATTGCAATCTATTTGCAAGTTGGACATCTGACTAAGATGTATTTGGGTAGAAGGGTTCCCAGGTGGATGGGTGGGTGGGTGGCTGTATAAATATATTTACAACACAAATTGAAACTCAGCTGTTTTAGATCAGCTAATATGATCTTGGAACAGATATTAGCCATTACATCACTAGATAATGTACATGTTTACTGAAGACCTCATTTATCAACTTGGTTTAATACAGGGTGGGAGAGACTGCGTTTTTTTTTTTTGGGGGGGTATAAGGTTTAAGCCAACCACACTCCCAAATGTGCCATAACTAAACCTTCTGGTGTGAGGGGTGTCGTTTGGAACATTTTTTTGCAGGATGGAGACCGACCTCTTCCTCATCTCCCACTACTCTAGACTCCTATAAAGCTGTATTTGAAAAGTGACGATCTCTGCAGCCATTAATGGCTGAATGGCAAATGTAGTTGCGTGGGAATAGCAGTAGATAAGTGTTTTCTCGTCCCTCTGGGATGTCTGATCTATACCTGATGTTTTTTTAAGTGCTTGTGATGATGTCATAGTGCCATTAGTTAAAGTTTCATATACCACTCATTGAAACATATTCCTGGTAATTTCTACACATAGCATCAGTCTTTAATGGCTAGGAGTGTACTTTTTCCAGAAATTACCTTGAGGGGTATCTGCTCTGTGCTGAGGCAAGCTATGTGCTTTAAAAATTGCCCAAATTTTGATCATTTCCCTCCAGGCTTACTGGATAAAATTCTTTTGAGGATATATTTTGCCAGAAATTGAAAATGATAGCAACAAAATAAGGGGTTTTAGACCACAACAAGCATTGATCCAAGTCCAGATGATGAAGGTGACAAATGAGGATAATTACAGCAATGACTTCAGGAAATGTGTGCGATATCGCTGACACTCACAGGACCACACACTGGGAAATTATCTTCATTGGAATTTTTTTTAAAAAGTTGTCTTACTTTTAAAAGGGTATTTTTTTCTCCCCCTCCTCGAAAAAAAAAATGTCCTGATCACAATGGTACTATTACCAAACTGTTCAACTTCTAAAATCAATTTCACAAGAAAGCAGATTTCATAATAAAAACCACAGGGCTAGAAGAGGATAATGATGAGGATTGCTACCCCTCACTACAATCTCTTCAAGTTTTTGATCAGTTCATTCAAAACCCAGCAACTTTCTTGACCCTCTTTCCCAATTGAAAAGGAAAAGGAGGAAGAAAACCCCCCCCCCCCCCCCCCCATCATAAATTAAACCTTGATAAATCAACTTCCCATTACTCATGGAATATGAACTGTCTGGGACTTCAAATTCTTAAACACAATTTTTTTTGTCCTTAGAAGATTGATATCTTTTTAAACAATGTTGAAATCATACACGGGCTGAGAAAATATTTAAGGACAACTTAACGTAAATGTATCTTTGGTAACCTAGAAAAGTTGATCTACAAAATAAGCGAGTATATCCCATGGTTACCAAGGCAACTCCAATTTTCATTGTCCCGGTGGGACTGAGGGCTTCTGGGATTACCAAACTGGGAAACAACTAAGAAAAAAATCTCCTCTTGGCTTGTTGCCATGGCCACCTACGTTGAGAGACTGCAGCCCCACCTATTTCTCTAGGTTCTAGCTACTCCTTGCCCTGGCCTCTAAGACTAGCAAGACACTATACTGTATAGGTCACCTGAGTATGAAATGAGCCAGTTACTTCTCCAATATCTGAGTCAATAGTCACATTTCCCCCCAGTACAGATAGCACTTTGCCAAAACAGATGCAGCCAATGGATTCAACAAAAACATTTAGACTGATTCCCAAAGATAATACATGTGCAGCATACACATGATAATTTCTGAATACAAATAGCCAAACAAGGGTTTCTTCAAAGAGATAAGGAATCTTTCCATAAATAATCATCTTCCTACCGCAAATACAGAGGCCAGATAGGAGAAAGAGGAGAAGGAAGAAAGAATTCCTTTATTTTTTCCTATAATTACAATATGCATTCTTGCTGGTGGGGCCACATCAGGCAACTCCTCTCTCCTACACTCTACCAGACTATTAATTTTTAACTTTCCAAGTAAGAAATATTGAGGAGGGAGCATGACTGTCCCAATGCAGCCTGCCTTGGTGGCCATGAGCAATACCACCCCCATTACTGCAGCATGCCATGGTAACCTACCAAAATGACTGGAATTTCCAACAGCTGTTCCTATGGTTACCCGCCTTAAACAACAATGTATTTGATGGTTTGTTACCATGGTCACCGACCCACGTTACTTAGGTTACACAGGGTGTCACCATGGTTACCTACCTACATAACCGGGTGTGCCACATGCCGTTGCCATGGTTCCAGATTCTTCAGTTTTTGAAAGACCAAAGTCACTGATCATGATCTTGGAATCATCTTGTGGTCCAAAAAAGAGTAGATTTTCAGGCTGGAAGAAGACATTATTATGATTTATTATGTTACGTTTGCTTTCTTTATCTTATTTTGACATTTTGGTAGACTTGGAGTTCCATTCACACCATCGCTCAATTTTTTATAATTATACTTAAATTTGTTGAAAACATTATTTGTAAAAAAAACTTTTTTTTATTATACAACCATTTTTCTTGATTCACATATAACTTCTGTCTATATAAATATTCCAGGGCTAGACACTAACTTTTGTGAGCACCTGTCCTTCGGACAGGTGCTCATATATTTGACCTGTCCGATTTTCAATCCAACCTGTCCACAAAACCAATATTTTTTTCTATTCATACCTTTGAACTTTGTCAATTAATACGTGTAGTCATACATTTAAATTAATGTATATATTACCAAAACATTCAATCATATGAGCCCCGAAAATGCACCTTAAAGTGAATTTATGTTCAGATAAAAAGTTGTTTTTTCATACTTGTGAACTCCTGAAGATTTAATCTTGCATATAAGTCTGATATTTAACATCAGGGCTTCTCCTAGGATTTGGGGTACAGGGTCTACTAATTGTAAGTCTGCAATTTGATAACAGATTCACATGAAGTTTAACCAAAGCTNAGGTATCAATCTTTACTCTCGTGGGCTAACACTGGTTAACAAAGAAAACCAAAGCATATTTAGTCCAAGAATACAATGCCACATCCCACTCAGTTCATAGGGGAAATTGAAGTTTGAATGTGTGGCAGTGAGGAAGAAACCATCCACTGGGAAAATACCTTTAGCTTAAAGACTACTACCTCGTATCATGGCTAATAAAAGAGAAGACTTCCACATCTGGAGATGAAGACTTCTTAGCACTGATACTAAAATCCATACCGCTAACAGAAGAAAGGTCGACACGAAGTTCTATTTATTAGCAGTAGTAAGGAAGGAAACAAACCACTTGCAAGCTATCATTTTCACCTGCTCTCAAGCCAATTTGGATTTAGAAGCGCCAATGGCAGTTATGTCAATATTATATGGGGCAGGATTCTGTGCAGACCACAAAACGTGACATTTCAAAGACTCAGGGAAAATACCCAGATAGGCAGTAGTGTTTTTAGATTTAAAATGTCAAATATATTTCTGTATCTGTAATGTGTGTGTGGGTGCATGGTACTTAAGAGTGTGTGTGTGTGTGTGTGTGTGTGTGTGTGTGTGTGTGTGTGTGAACATGTGTGTGTGTGTGCGCGCGCATGCACAAGTGCTCACACATATGCATGAGTACACATACTTACAGTTCCATGACTAGATACACTGAGTGTTTATCTTCATGAACATCTAGTAACCTGACAATGTTTGGATGTTCTAACCTGAAACAAGAACACAAGTTATAACATAAAACTGAAGAAAGCATTGGCCATGTTGATAGTCCCCCACTGTGTTACAATGATATAACCTCAGTCTGCCAGATATGACTAAGATCCCATTCCCATATCTAGATCGCTGTAGCAAGATAGACTCATCTCCAAGGGGATTCTTGATAAATTACATTCAGCATATGCGGTTTAGATGTCTGGCATGCCTACTAAAGCTGCTAAACGATGGTTAATTATCCCCTAATGGCTTCAGTAGGTGTGCCAGACATCAGAGCCACTATAGCTGAGTGCAATTTAGGGAGAAACCCCTCGGAGATGGGTCGATCCTGCTAGATCGACCTAGATATGGGAACGGGGTTTAAGTGAAGTCCATTAATGATAAAAGAATAATCAAAATGCTACTTAAGCTAATGAACTTTACTTTTTGTTCATTTTGTTTACTTATCTATTTATTTTTGATAAATTATTTCTATCAACACAGCACAATGCCAGAGAGTTTTCTAAGACACATGGTCCCAGTGCGACTGTCACCAACATTTACTGTCAGTAAAATCTGCACTTCCTGAAATATTTTCACCTCAAATGAACTGAACAGAAAGGTCACACTTAATGATCACCAAGTCATGCTGATCACTTATTTCATTGAACAGAGATGTCTAGCTGGGTAATTAGGAGAAATATCCTTCAAGAGTTATTACTACTATTAACAGATATTACAGGATTACTATAATTGGTTTGAAAATAAAAGAAATAGCTGTATTTTAGTCCTCTTTGAGAATAGTAACTTTTTTCCTTCTTGTGGTGTTTATGTGGAAAGTGAATTACAACAGCAATGCTAACAACAGAGGCGGGCAATGGCCAAATGCCCTGCATGACGTCCTTAAAAATCAAATCACTGGGAACACGAACAAAAAACTGATATATATAAAAGTTTCTTTTTCTGACCAGTCATTGCAACAACCTACCTTTTTAATATATCTATTTCATTTTGTAGAGCTTCTTCCTTTCCCTTGAGTTGATGTCTGTTTATGCATTTTACTGCTACATACTTGCCCTTGTTCTTCTTCTCTTCTCCTAGTATCACTTGAGAAAAGGCACCACTGAAAACAGAAAAAGAACCTATTGTTACTAACATTGAGTTAGGGTTTATAATGACATATAAATTAAATGTCACTTAAAATTTAAGTTCACACAGTGCTGCAATATACCTCCTCCAAATCCTTCTATCTGTTCCTACTAAAATTCTAAATCAAGCTGGAAAAGGTTCGTTTCCTTTTTTTTTTCCAGAAAGGTTTCAGAGAAATTTTCAACAGATGGTCTATAATAAGACTTAGTGTCTAAAAGAGGGAGGCAAGGAAAGAGCCAGGTACAAGATACAGGCAAGTTCAGTTTGGATAACTCACTGACACTGACATAGTAGTAATAGCAGCAGGTACAAGATACAGGCAAGTTCAGTTTGGAAAGCTCACTGACACTGACATAGTAGTAATTGTAGCAGGTACAAGATACAGGCAAGTTCAGATTGGATAACTCACTGACACTGACATAGTAGTAATTGTAGCAGGTACAAGATACAGGCAAGTTCAGATTGGATAACTCACTGACACTGACATAGTAGTAATTGTAGCAGGTACAAGATACAGGCAAGTTCAGATTGGATAACTCACTGACACTGACATAGTAGTAATTGTAGCAGGTACAAGATACAGGCAAGTTCAGATTGGATAACTCACTGACACTGACATAGTAGTAATTGTAGCAGGTACAAGATACAGGCAAGTTCAGATTGGATAACTCACTGACACTGACATAGTAGTAATTGTAGCAGGTACAAGATACAGGCAAGTTCAGATTGGATAACTCACTGACACTGACATAGTAGTAATTGTAGCAGGTACAAGATACAGGCAAGTTCAGATTGGATAACTCACTGACACTGACATAGTAGTAATTGTAGCAGGTACAAGATACAGGCAAGTTCAGATTGGATAACTCACTGACACTGACATAGTAGTAATTGTAGCAGGTACAAGATACAGGCAAGTTCAGATTGGATAACTCACTGACACTGACATAGTAGTAATTGTAGCAGGTACAAGATACAGGCAAGTTCAGATTGGATAACTCACTGACACTGACATAGTAGTAATTGTAGCAGGTACAAGATACAGGCAAGTTCAGATTGGATAACTCACTGACACTGACATAGTAGTAATTGTAGCAGGTATACAGTACAAGCAAGCCCAGTTTGGATAGCTCACTGACACTGACATAGTAGTAATTGCAGCAGGGACAAGATACAACCAAGCTCAGTCTGGATAGCTCAGTATGGATAGCTCACTGACACTGATACAGTGGTAATTACTAGGTACAAGATACAGGCAAGTTCAGTTTGGAGAGCTCACTGACACTGATACAGTGGTAATTGCAGCAGGTACAAGATACAGGCAAGTTCAGTTTGGAGAGCTCACTGACACTGATACAGTGGTAATTGCAGCAGGTATACAGGTATGCACCTTCCCACTTCTGACTGTCTACCTGAGTAATTGCTGACATTTCAAAAATACTGCAAATAATAACTACTGTTACTGTGTGTAAGAGTCTAATCCCTGTTTCTCTATGGCATTACATTCCAGCATTCTGCACGGGAAGAATTAAAAGTTTCCTAGCATTTCTTCTCCAACTTAGCTCATTTATCTATCTCAAAAACCCACACTTTTTATAAAATTTCATACGGAGGCATTCAACTGGATATCAGACTAGGAAGCAATCTTCCAATGTGTACAAGGGCTAGTTTTATTAAAGTAATTAGCCTTTTATTTTAACTTGGTGCCAAAACTTGAGCCTACTTTAGATTCCAGACAAATCACACAGACTCTATAAAACGTACCACCATTCCTGCACAACAAGAGGAAACAAATGGCTGACAATTTACACTAACATTTACCTTACAATATTCAACCACTACCGATTTATCCTGAATTCAAAGAGACCAAAGTGTTTTGTCTTAGAAGTAAAAATAGACAACTGTCCAACATGCCCTTCTGCACATCCCATGAATCCCATATTGGCAAAGTCATCTTTCTGTTCATCCTTTACAAAGATACCTCTTACCCTATTAAACCGTTTCTACTGCATGAAGACTTATATACCCTGTCAAAGTATGCTTTTTTCCAAAACAAAATATTAAAAGCACAGTTTTGTGTTTTCTACAAAGCGGCAAATCAGTATGATGGATTCACCTGCTGTGGCCATGATTGAAAAGCCTTTTTCCTACAAAGTAGAATCAATAAATTCTCAAAGGTACCCAGGGCTAGCGTTGAAAACATACAGCTTCACACACATGGAACTTCAGTCTCCAGAGAAAACATTCCACCAGATGAGCAGGACGCATAAAAAGGCCTACATGTACATTCAACAGACTTTTCATCACTGACAATCATAGCCTTCAAGAACATATATATACCAGTCCTCTGCTTTCTCACTGCACCAGTCAATCTCCATTCTGTCCACACTCAATGTGTGTTCAGAATACTGAGAACAGTTGGCCAAACTTGGTTCCCTAACCATGATTTTAAGACAACAAGACAATATTTTTCTTTAGCCAAATAACTGAGAAAAAATAACATGAGTTTTAAAAGAAAATAACCTTCCAAAATGAGTCCAGTACCATATTGATAGTAAAAGCAAGAAGGAATATTGAGGAATAATAAAAGGAGTTTAAAAATGTCTAGAACCACATGTGTCAAACATCATCATGGTAAACCATAGCACATGCTTCAAGAAACCCAAAGAACAGTTAAAACAAATTCTAAACCAGTCCAGAACCACATTAGCATGGATCCCATGTGAACTGGCCTTCAGATCTGCTTAGTGTGCTGCATACTATACAACAATGGGCAATGTAGCAGCAGGACCAACTGGTAGAGACTGATGTAAACCATCTGTAGCCTCTATAATAGTACCCCCTGGTCTTCACAGGATACCCTCCCTTACACTGAGGCATGTTTACACTGGAACAAATGACTCAGGTCACATGCTAACTCAGGTCGCAAGTCCCCTTGGGTCAGATGTCATAAGAGGTTGTTGTAGTAAATAGCAAGAAAAGAAGTTTACTCCAGCAAAAAATTACAATTTCCTTAATATTGTAATGGTACCTTACAAGATTCTCTACAAGGACTCCACAAGATATCCGCCCTTTTTCTTGTATCAAATTGGCTTGGTGGGTGGGTGGACAGGTGGTTGACGAAGTGACAGACAGGTGGCTGGACAGGGAGGGAGGGGGGGCAGTGGCTAGGTGGGTGGCTTAGTGATAGGCAGGTGGGTGGACAGGCAGGTGGCTAAATGTGTGGACAAGGGGGTGACTAGGTAGGTGGACAAGCGGGTGGCTAGGTAGGTGGACAAGGGAGGTGATGGCTAGGTGGGTGTGTGAAGAATTGAGTGTAATTATTTTTAAAGTACAAATGAATAATAAACAGATTGTTATTCGTATATTTTATGGTCTAGTTTTACAAAAGACTTAGCCAGCCAAAAATTGGTTTAATGTCTTAGTCCGCTTTAGCTCAAAATAAATGATCAGTCATCTACTTAAATTAAGTATTGACCTAAAACATAAGCCAAGTCTGTTTTTTGTTATAAAACATATGCAATCATATGTTTCTGGCTAAATGTACTACTACTACTACTACAGATTTAACATGAGTCAAAGGAGACTTGCAGTATAGATCGTCTTCTTCTGGGTCAAGTCCTATGCAAGAGTTAGGACCTACACAAGAGTTAAGTTTTTCCTAGTGTGTACACAGGTATTGTGCCTTCACTGAAAAAACACACCATTCAGGGGCGGATTCAGAGATATTTTCTGACAGTCTTCCAAATTATTTTTGTTAATCCATTTTTGACCCTCTTCCGACAGAAAATATTAGATACCCGTCAATGTAAACTTTAAAATCTGACCGTCTTCCGGAAGACCCAGAAGACGGCCTAAATCCGCCCTTGCCATTCAAGAGGCAATACGACTGTGACATCCCATTTCCAGGACACATGCTGTTAAATACAGAATGATCAGGAATATATCTGATACTTTAAAGGTGATCCATTCTGGAAACCGTAATGAGCTTAAGATGTGGCACACAGTATGTCAGGGTTCAAGAGAAACCTAGAAGAAGACATATGACTGGAGATATCCTTTGTAATGTGGTTCTTGATACCCAGGTATATTTGTTTTTATTAGTTTTTATAAGTTTACACTGTTTGCTACGTAACAAGTAGCAGAGCACATTTTGTTCATATATATATATACCTGAAGTATTTCCAACATAAGACCAACACAGGTAAAAATCCAGGTAAGGGGATCCTTTTACAGCTGTCACCTGATCTGACCAATAAATAATCCTCTTCCATGGAGAGACTGGCTTCTTTTTCTAACAGAGCCAATTAAATTCACTTGATAGCAAAATACATCAGTAACTGATAGCTTACCAATGCTAAATCACTTCAATTAGGTACCTGTTACATAGAATTTCTTTCATCCAAGTCCATGGCAAATTTTTTTCACATTCTGATTTTGGTCACTGTTTAGTACATTAAATACAGAGATTAAACATACATCCTCTTTAAACTCCACTAATGACCAGATCCTAACAAACCTGTTCTTGGCAACAATATTAAGCCAAATCCAAGTTTTTTTTACAATGGCAATTCAGTTTTCTGATCACACTATCCTGTGTTCAAGTTGTCCAAAAAGGCAAACTCATCTCTATTTCTTACTTGACCACCATCTTTTTCAGACTCTGGTACCAGAGACAAAATCTGTTGTATGTCAAAGAAACATGGTCAAGTTTTTGGATCCCTGGTTATCGACTTGCGATAGACCTGGCAAAATGAAACATTTTACACCCAGGTGAAGATCAAAAAAGTATCTTGGAAAACAAGATTACTTTAAGATGAAATGAAACTCAGGGTATTTTACTCCAAACTCTAAAGAATCAAATGTAACTCCCATGAGCACACTTGTGCCACAACATGAATTTACACAGTGCATTCATATTAGCTCAGATCACACAGTCCTAGCTCCTACTCCACCTGGTTAATTTGCAGATCT